TGATGCATGATCTTGTGATAATGCATGTTTAGAGCTTGTATCTAGGTTTCTTGAATGTTCTTTGATCTATTCTTGGATTCAAGTCATTTCCTTGTTGTATGTGAGATTTGGGGTGTTTTGGACTTGAACTTGACCTTGGAGATGAAATTCCCCGAAGGGAATTATTTGTGGTTCGGGATGTTCCCCACGGGCGGAACGGCGGGCAGATGTCCACCTGCCGCCCCACCCACATGTGGAAGGTTGTACCTGGCGGGTAGGACCACGTGTAGGTACCCACCCGTGGTTCCACCCGCGGGGTACACTGATGGTGGCCTTGTCGGGTGTTGTTTTCCCGTGGTTCCTCCCTTTGGTATGTGATGTTTTGGCCTCCCTTTGTTGGATTGTTGAACTTTTGTGTGTCTCCTTGATGTTTCGTATGTCTAGAACGAAGTCCTAAGAATCCATGTTAGGATTTGGTGTCTTGAATCGTGCTTATGGTCCAACTTTGTGATTCATTGGATTTATGTGTGTCCTTGAGATTCATTGGAATCGTTTTGGTTTACCCGTTTGATGAGCATGCTAGTTATGTTGTCTTTGATGCTAGTATGTGTTGTTTGTCCATTCTTTTGAGGATTGGAAACTTGTGTTGCCAATCATGTTGATATTGGATTGAAGTCCATTGTTGTTGTTGAGTATTGTTTCATGTCTATCATTGAAACCTCTTGATTGATATCTATGATGTGATCTTGTACATTTGTTTACCCGTTGTTGATGCTTGATTGGGCTATTGATGAGTCTCAATCCTCTTGATGATGACTATGTGTGATCATGAATGAGATTGGTGGTATTGTGACATGAGCTTTGCTCATGAGTTCGGCGGTATGTTACTATGATATTTAATGGTACCCTCGTGTACTGAGAGTTCGGCGATTTTGTTTGGCGGCAGTTTGGCGGGGGACGACGGTCCCATGAGGGATAAGGTTGGACTCAGGAGTACAGGGTGGCACTCGGAGGTATAGGTTGGAACTGAGATAAGGTTGGTGGTAGCTATAAGGGTGGTACTAAGGCATAAGGTTGGAACGTGAAACTTGTCATTATGTGAATTGTTGTGTTTATTGCTTATGAGCATGTCTGTCGGGAACTCTACCATGTTGATGGTAGGTTGCGTCTATCGTTGAGTATGTACTTGTTGTCCTTATTGACTTGTGTATTGTTGTTGATGATTGGTCTTTGTTGAGAGCGTGATGTTGTGTCTCTTGATGTGCCCTCTCTTGGTTTTGAAATGATATATATTGTACTCCTCTGTCTCAAATGGTTTTGGATATATCTATATATTATGTTACTTAACGCGTATTGGTGGGTTACCAGCATCTTTCGCTGACGGGTGTTATCCCTATGTTTTTACAGGTTATGAGTAGCTTGGAGAGCGCGCTAGTGGACCCTAGATAGCGTAGTTCTTATGCTTTCCTATTGTTTAAGACTTGTTTAGACTTATAGCCTGTGTGCCTTGTTCTTATGACTTTGTTCATGGATAGACTTGTAGACTTAGCCTGTGCACCTATAGTTGTATAGGTGTGACATAACATCTCCCATTTTGCAGTTGAATAGCTTCCGCTTTGTTTATGCTTAATGCTTAGTTTTATCTCGTATTTAAGCTTTTAAATTTTGGTAAAATCGGGGGTGTTACAGCTTTAATGAAACTATAGTGTATATAAAATAAAATTAAATAACATTTTCACATATTTGAGTGTATAAATATTAAATGAAAATGTAGTTATATCGAAATGAAACTGTAGTTGCGTTGAACTGAAACTGCAGTGTATACAAAATGAAATTGAAGAACAGAGTTATTTTTTGCGAAGATTCTGTTTCTTTTTATTAAACAAAACGACGTCGTTTTGATGCGCGGTGCACGATATAATTTGCGACCAAATTACAAGGTTTGGCGAACCCCGCCTCGCCCGACCCACTTTGAATGCTCTACTCAAATGAGGTTGTCTCACACAAGACTTACATATGGAGTATATACTCCGTATATAATTGGACTCCAAATTTGTGGGGCCCATGTGACGCCCTTGGTTGCAAATAGCCTTAATATGATAACGCTATCATCCTCCCAAATGCTCTGTCGAATCGGAGTGTGGGAAACCCTTAGGGTTGGGGTTCAACCTTTCGGAAGAATGATAACGCTATTATCTATGGAATATATAAGGATCCTTATTGAGAGTATTATTCTCGCCACTTGTCTCTCATGGATTGAATGAAAATTAAAATTAAAACAAAAAATAAAACAAAACAAAGTGTAAACCGTCCATCATTTCCAATGATATGTCATCACATAAAGAATATAATTGAGATGTTTAGTTCAAATAACACTCTTTGAAAAATTCAAGACCACTAAAAAATGTTAAAAAATCTATGATGATATCCATAAGTATTATTGACAATCATCGGTTGCACTCAGAAATGCTTACCATGAACAAATAATTAGTCCAAGACCTAAGTTAATTTTAGAATGATTGAATACAAAAGAAAGAAATATTTTCTATTTTTTTATTTCAAAAGGAAGAATAATCTGTCCATCATTACTAAAAATATATCAGAGTAACATTGAAAGTAGAAATATAATGGTGGTATAATAGGCTGCTAATAGCCTTAATTTGTTTGCAAAACCCAAAAAGTTGTGTTACGTTCCTCGAAATGGTGTAAAACAGGACCGGACCTTTGACCACCCGACCACCATAAATTAATCATAGATCTATGTTCTACTATACAACTTGCATGTTTTATTTGGTTGTCACAACAATTCAAGCCAAGTTACTCCACTATATAAGTGTTTTTTTTTTGTTTTTTTTTTTTTTTGGGTCTGTGTATATTAATTTATCTAGCAACATATAATAAACAATAACAATTTCATTTACAAAAAATTCGCAACTACTATCTAAAGATGCACTCGGGATAAGTTAGTTCACCTTGTGACCCTAATAAAAAATGACCACAATGAGGTAAACCAATCTAGGTTGCTCATATCTAGCTGAACGGCTCAATTAAAAAATGCCAATAAGTAGCTCCCACATAGAGTCGAACTTGAAATCTAGTTTGGAGTAATTATGTAACTGTATTGTCAGACCAACTTAACTAAAGTAAGAAAAAAACAGCAACTTCGACGCTCATGAATATAATCACTCCTATAAGTCTTTGGAATTTTGATTTTAATACTCGTATATACATGTACATCTCAAAATAGCAAGTAGCTAGCTAGTTAGGTGTATATGTTGCAAACCAAAAATTATTACATCATAACTCATAAGTGGTCAACGGGAAATATTATTTATATATATAGATAATTATTATGAGTACATCTCACTTAGCTTGATATATCACTTAAAGAATGATGTTACATGCATTCTATCAAATATAAACCTCATCTCACCTACCGTGAAAACATTTTATAAGATTTTAACTTTATTTTTGTTATGAGAACAATTCGTAATCATTATTTGTGTATATATGTACGTATTGGATAGACCTCACTTTTGTGTAAAAGTTTGAAAATCTATCTTACAAGAAATGTAAATTGCACTAAGAAGATCTCGTGCAACGGGTTCGATCTAGAAAGTGTTGGTGGAAACATATTTTATATTCAATTTTATATATGGAATGAATTTTAATTAGCATATATAAATATGAGTGAATTCTATTTTTGGTCCTACTGTTATAGGATCGTTTTCAATTTTAGTCCACCTTAATTTTTTTTTTGCCACTTTATAACCATTATTATTGAATGTGTTCCACTTTTAGTCCCACCGTTAGTATTTTCATCAAGAGGCCGTATAATCTAGGGGTATTTTCACCTTTCTTCTCATCCAAGACTATGTTTGACTAAAGAAATGAGAACATTAAACCTAAAACCTAAGAAAAAATCTCGTCGACCATGTTGGAACGAACGAAACGATGTAGCTTTGGCTTCCCATTCTCGTTGTTCGAAGAGCCATCTTCGAATATCGGAGGAGGAGGATGAAGCGTCTGGATTAAAAGAGAAGAGACAAACATAAAAAGACCAAAATACACTTTGATTATACGGCTTCTTGACGAAAATATTAACGGTGGATTAAAAGTGGAACACATTCAATAACAGTGGTTGTAAAGTGGCAAAAAAAAATTAAAGTTGACTGAAATTGGAAACGTCTCTAAAACAGTAGGACCAAAAATGGAGCTCACTGTATAAATATCTATATAGTACATAAAATATAGAGGAATAGATCAGACGATATTATAATGTATTTGTTCACATAACAATTTAATGTACTTCATCACATAACAATTTAATATTGATTCGTACTTAATTAGTTCACACCCACACAGATATCTATTCTCATTCTAAGCGTATTAATTTACATCCAATTAATTCAGATCATGTGATAAGAATATATACATATATATACATATATTTAAAAATAGAATTAATTTTTTTCTCCCACTTTGATGCGTGTATGTATATAATATAGGAAAAAGAAAAAGTCAAATAGATCATCGAATTACGCAATTAAATCATCAATTTATAATTGAATTCTGAACAATACAAAATCATGCAATTAAACTAAAAGTGACATATTTATCCATTGATTGTTGACATGGTCACCTGATTATAAGAAAAAATTTTATATTTTATTTTAATAATTTTAAATACCAATTCTAATATTTTTTTTTTTTAAAAAAAAAAACCCGCCCCCACCCCGACCTTCGTCTCCAGACTACCGGAGACAAAGGTTGGGGGAGGGGTGGAGTTTTTTATTTTTAAAATTATTAAAATAAAATTTTAAAAAAAAATCCGATAACCTCAACATAAGTCATCAATGGGTAAACATATCACTTTGGATTCATTAGTATAATTTAATGTTATTCAAGGACCTAATTACATTTTCTTTTTTAAGTTCCCTGATGCAATTGCAATTTTATGTGTATAGTCCGATGACATATTTCATCCATATCCCCCTAATATATATATATATAGTAGTTAGCATAGCTTGCTTAGTTGCTTCTAAGCTTCTCACCTTCATTATTGCATTTTACAACAATACAATGTCGTCGACCCATAAAAAGAAGATTATACTCAGAAATATCACCGTGAAACTAGGCTGCAGCAGCAGCTGCGCGAGGCCGAAAGACTCCACCGTTTTCCAACCTAAACCGCTGCACCGCCGCCGCCATTCCAAATCATCTGCCGGAAAATTCCGCCGCGGCGACACCGACCCCAATCACTGCTCTTCCAGTTCTCTGGACACGTCAACAACCACCTTCTCCTCCAATATCAGGGCCCTGAAGGCGGTGCAGGGCTTCGGGAGGATCGACGGGGAGGGCGTCGCCGTCGAGAAGGACTCCAGCGACCCCTACCTCGACTTCCGGCAGTCCATGCTTCAGATGATCCTCGAGAGAAACATCTACTCCAAGGACGACCTCAAGGTCCTCCTCAACTGCTTCTTGCAGCTCAATTCCCCTTACTATCACGGCATCATCGTCAGAGCGTTCACCGAAATCTGGTACGGGATTTTCTCGGCGAGGCAGCCGCCGGCGGCGGCGGCGGAGGTTTCCTCCCCCACCGCCTTTCTGCATGTGGAAGGAGGAGGGAAAGAGTGTGCATCACGTGACTTTTAGGTGAGGCACGTGACGCCCGTATCGTCAGTCGTTTACTAACTTTTTCTGTTTTGGGTTTAGTAGCGGGTGGACTATACAAATGTGGACCCCTTAATGTATTTTGATTAATTTGAGTGATATATTAATATGAATATATATATATAAATATAATATGTTGAATCTAATTAATTTCAGTTGAAATTTTACAGCCTTTTTTACTAGCTTATAAATATGTTGGCGATGAAAAATGCTGTGGAATTGGAATATATATTTTTATATTTAATGGCGCTAGATTAGATTTTTACTTGTGTTCGAGAGACAGTAATATTTCTTGAATTATAATTCTCATTTTGCTCATCCGTTCTCAATTTTACTCTTTAATATTTGAAAATTGAATGATGAATCTTAACTGGCGAGTATCGTACCTAATATCATATCTAATTACAACTTTTTTGAGAAATATCTAATTACAATAAATAAACTATTGGAAAAATAGCAAGAAAATGACATAATAAGTGATTATTTTTTGTACAAATATTAGTGAGGTTCACTTCTGATTTGGGTCAAGTCAAAGTGGATTTAGGTTTTTCGTTATTAGACGAAGAGATTGATATATTGTATGCTCAAAATCAGATAATGGGTGAATGAGAAACTAATTCTTAAAGACCCATTTGAGGTTGAATTTAAGTAGCCTTTGTCCTACATTGGTTTGGGAAATATGTTTGCACCACTATATATACCAAAGCCTTACTCTTTAGAGTACCGTTCTGACAGTGTTAATTCTTATTCGTAACGAAATTAAGTTTAATTTAAAATTTAAAATTTAAAATTTTAGAATTAACTTCTATAATAATGGTTGCCTATTATGAAGGTTACAATGAATAACTTTATTATCAATGTTAACATAAACTTTCTCTTGAAACTCTGCTCAATCTTCTTCTCAACCAACTGTGTTCATCCTGTGTTCCAGTTCGTCGAGTTCTATTGTTTGAGTGCTCAAACTTAGAACCGTAGCTTGTTTTATCTTAGAAAACCTATACTACAACGCTCATACCACTAAAGAGAGGTAACATATAAGGTTTTAAGGATAGTGTGGGTATCACACGACTCCAGCTAGCCACCTAGCCTTTTCAATCCTTTCATGTTCTAGTGCTTGTTTTTGTTTTGTTTTTTTTTTTTTTTTCCAGAAATATTATTTCCGTAGTAATATTTTGTAACATAAACTTTATATACTCCGTATATACTAATATTAAACTCTATATAATGAAAAATTGAATTCAAAACCAAACTAAACATGCATATAAAATGAGATGGAGGGAATATATATATATTGTTGAAATACTCATGATTCTTTACAATATAGTATATGTTCTATAGATGGAGGGAGTATATGATATCACGGAAGGATCACACTTGTGTGAGACCGTCTCACGGATCCTTATTCGTGAGACGGATCGGGTCGGGTCAAATCATCATGCAAATGTAATACTTATATGCGAATGTCATACTTATATACTCAAATGTAATACTAATTAGGAATAAAAATTTTGTTATTTTTGAGAAAAAATGTAATACTTTTGCATTTTGATGTAAAAGTATTATATTTTGCATCAAAAGTATTACATTTTTCATAATAAGTATTGTTGGTAATTAAGTGCCCCTTACTTATAAGGGAAAATATAATACTTTTAAGGAAAAATGTATTCCGTAAAACTTTTAAATTGAAAAGTAAAAGTATTACATTTTCCCAAAAGTATTACATGTAGTAACAAAATTTTTATTCATAATTATTATTACATTTGAGCATATAAATATGATATTTGTGTATCCTCTCAAAGCTCTATCGGGCCGAGGTTTGGGGACCCTTAGGTTTGAGGTTCAACCTTTTGGAAAAATGATATTTGTGTGTATAAATATTACATTTTTCATCTTGACCTGACTCAACCTCTCTTGTACGATTTTTATTTTATTTTTATTTTTGAGTTTGGTCAAGATCGTTTCCGGCCTTCCGGGTTTGTAGGTGTAGTTCTCATTGGCGGGGAAAGTGAGACGTTGGGATTTGAAAAAAGAAAAAAGAAAAAGCAATAATAATTAATAAAGAAGGTAATTAGGAGACATGTCCTTTAATGCGCTTCAATGTCGTGAGAACTACAGCCTCGATCAAATATTTACAAGTAATTAGGGCTCTGTTTGGCAAACCTAACTGAAAAGTTATAAGCTAGGAGTTGATAGTTGAAAAGGAGTTGAAAGCTGAAAAGCTATAAGCTCGGAGCTGAAAATTGAAGAGCTGTTAAGCTAGCTGTTATGATTGAAAATGTTTGGTAAAATTAGCTTTTTGATAAGCTGATAAATGTAAAAAGACTAAAAAGGACATCTTTATAAAATTTAAATTAGTTTGTTTACATATTAAAAGTTAACATTTCGTCTTCCAAAAAAAGTAAACACTTTTTGAAATAAAACTATTAGCATGATCATGATCTAGTATCCCATAATGAAGTAGCAATATTGTTGCGAATCTCCTTCATCTCCATAGAGGTGTGACTTAAATTTTCGTTGATGGAGATATTACTACTTGAATCTTGAAGTTCATCGGGCGGTATGTAATCTGGATGCTGCTCAAGCACATTAAACATCATGTCATCTTGTGAATTCTTCCGAATATAATTATGTAGTGCAAATGTGGCCATAATAACATCAATTTGGGTCTCCTCACTAAACTGCGACATTTTAGAAGTATCTTCCATCTCTTATTCAATACACCAAACGACCTCTCAATACAACTTCGAAGAGAAGAATGTGCACGATTGAATGCTTCTTGAGCATTAGTCGACGGCTCTTGTTCAATTTGAGATTGAAGCCATATTGCTAATTTTAAAATAACATTAATAACGATAATAATAATGATAATGATAATGATAATAATAATAATAATAATAATAAGCTAAAGTTTCAACATAATTGTTTAGCAGGAAACAAGTCTAAGGAAGGGATTGACGTGAAAGTTGGGATAGGGGAAGAGAAAGGGTTTTAATTCATAAGGTTAAAATATGTCATTACTTTAAAATAATAAGGGTAAAGATGGAAAAAAAGTTAGGAAGCTAGTAGCTTATTTTGAAACGCTACTGAAAGTAGCGTTTCAAAATAAGCTCTTATTTTAAGCTAGGAGCTTATTTTGGGAACATTACCAAACAGAGCTTATAGCTTATTAGTAGCTTAAAATAAGCTATAAGCTCCTAGCTTAGCGTTGCCAAACAGAGCCTAGTTGTAAGTAAAAACAAATTAATAAGAATTGAGTTAATTTCACTAGAATTGATTTTGGTGGCAATTTTAAATTTAGTCATAGATTATTATTTTTGTTATTTAACATCTCGGACTATTATTTTTTGGATTTTAATCTTTCTTATGACTTTTTCAACTTTTGTCTCTTCATATTTTTTCTTTTGTTATTTTTTTCGATTTCAACTGGTTTAATTGGTTTAAGACTTTACTAAAAATCAGTTTAAAAATATGGTTACTAAAAATCAAGGTTACCTAAGTTCTAAATCAATTAAACTGGTTGAAACTGGAAAAATAACAAAAGAAAAATATGAAAAGACAACAATACCTTCACTAAAAATAGGAAAAATCATGATAAGGACTAAAAGTGTCCAAAAACTAATAGTCTGGGATGTTAAATGACAAAAACGATAGTTTAAGACTCAATTTGAAATTATTGGCAAAGACAAGAGACCTTTGATGGAATTAACTCAATAAGAATTTCTATTAATCAATAATAATGGACCACCGTATCAACCACAAATTTTTCGATAAAACTACTAATGTCGTTAACGTTTGTATTTATTGTTGGTTAGGGAAAATTGTAATTTATGTCCCTCACAAATATGTCAATTATTAATGTCACTCCTAAATTATTAATATTATAAATGTTGTCACTCAATTTTCAAAACGAGATATATATTGTTATTTTTCTGAATTATTAATGGTTTAAATGTGGTTATCCGCTATTTTTCTTGTTTAAAGGCTACATTTTTTTCTTCGTTTATTCTCCTTCCGATGACAATAATATTTCTCCATCTTCCTATTAGGGGAGGGGTAATATCTGACATATTTAAAAATTGAGGAACAACATTTATACCAATAATAATAATAATAATAATAATTTATGAGTGACATTAATAATTTATGAGTGACATTAATAATTGTTTTAATAATAAGCATCAATAAGTTTCAAAAGTAGTGATTAAGCGGGTGAAATATGTTTTTTGTACCTAAAAGTTACGATTTGACTCTTGTAACACTCTTTTGGTCGAGTTTTAGTTCCTTTTCGATCAAACACATTACATAGATTCTTTTTAGTGTAGTTGACCTCTTTTGTTACTCCATTCATCTCATTTTTCTTTCGTGCTCAATGAATGAGTCTTGACTCAAATTAGTTATAATTTAAAGTTTTGTAGTGTTTAGTGCAGTTTTAGTATATATATAAATTTATAAATATTTGAAAATGACATGAATGTATTACTATATACAAAAAGTCAAATTTAAAAATTGTAAAAAAAATTTAAAGAAAATAAACAAATAAAGAAAAGTTAGTTTCACCAATAAGCAGTAAATAAGTTAAGATAAGTAACATAAGACAGATAGACTAACTGGTTATACGATGAAAAAGATACACACAGATATATAATTGTGTTAATTGGTTCAAAAAACTAAAAGTGTGAAGTTATAATTTTTTTAAAAAATCAATAAAGTTGTTAATCCATCTAATTCATTATTTATTTATTTATTTATTGCATGTATAGGTAAGTTAATCTCGAAGACTCGAATAGAAAATTTATATCTCTTGTGCATGGCATCATCACATCACATAATTAATCTTGGTTGTGGGGTATGGCCCCATATGATGACTTCCAATGCTATTATTCCACGTTAGAAAGCAAGTTCACACCAGAGTTATACTATATGTATTATATATATATATATATATATATATATATATATATAGAATCGCACTCAGGTGCGAATGCTTCGCCCAGGCGCGAAATAGGAATGAATTCTGTTCGTCCACGTGTCCAGATCTAATGGATGAGAAACACTGATTTTTTTTAAAAATGCAGTGGCATTTTCGTAAATAATTGAACATCGAAGTGCAAGTAAAATGTATTACAAGTGCATGTAAAATGTATTA